GTCGAAACTAAAAAGAATTGTCATTTTCTAAATAGGGTCCAGAATAAACAAGTTAGACATTCTTGCACTTAAAACTAACATATCTTGTTCATTAGTCACATCTCTAGGCCCCTCTTGTACTTTTTATTGCTTTCTATTTTGATTTTTATTCATACAAAAAAAATACAGAATGTACTGTTATGCAGACAATCTGCATTATTGGAAAAAATGGTATAAATATCTATCAGTGCACTAGTGAAGAATATTAGACTCCCTAGTTGACGTGTATTTGGTCGTGTGGTGTTATTTGTTTACTCCTGAAATTGGTAAAAAATCGAACATTTCCGCTACTTTGAGCTCTCCGTTTCAAGGTCGTTTTCATCGTCAAAGTAATGAAAATCATCTCTATTTCTGAAATATGTGTTGCCATTTTTTTCAATAAGACCATGTAAAACGAAATACTCGATGAAAGTACTATTCGATAACTTACACCTCAAGTCGGCGTTTTAATCGGAAAAAAAACATCGCAATCGTTTTTTTTATTCTCTGATTACGCACTTGTGCTGCACGGATTTTTTTTTTAATGTGGTGCACACTGACCACACAGACCCATTCTCTCACATGTAGGCCTACCAGGCTTTCTTCCGCTTGATTTGAAGCCGCTAGAATTATTGAGTATATTACGTCAGAAACACAGGCTCGTAAGACGTATATAATAACGACCAAAATCAGTCAAAGGGTTTAAGTGATCTTCCTAAACTCTTAGAGTCAATTGAGTTCTGTAGGTAACTACAAAGCACATTCAAACAGAGCTTTTGTTGTACAGTTTTTGTGAAAGTTTGCAATAACCTGCTGCGTCCATGGGTGGAGGAGATGGCAGTGGTATTAGGAATTCTTTGGCAAAAACTTCGCACTTTAATGAAGCTCATGTCCCATTAAAAGGTCGCTCTACAACGTATGTAGGATGACCAGGGGCATTGTCTAACACCAGTAGGCACTTTAGGTCTAATTTCTTTTCAGTTAAGTAATTTTTCACATTGGGGGCAATATGCTTGGTGTGACAGCCGCTGAATGTCACATTCAGGGTTTTAAATTGTTTCAAGTAGATAGAAATATCGGTAAGGGAGGTGGGGTGGCACTCTGAATCCAAGATTGTTTAAACTGTTGCATAAAAACAGGTATAAAGTCTGAAATAACACACACAGTCTGTCTGGATAGAATTTTCAGAGGGGTATGAGAAATTGATCTTAGGCGTGATATACCATCCCCCAAACTCAGATAGGGACCAAGGGAGACTACTTTGGGAGGAAATTGTTAAGGCCACGAGGCATGAAAACATGTGATTCTAGGGGACTTTAACTTTAGTCAAATTGATTGGAATTTTTTGACTGGGAATTTAGAATCCAACAACTTTTTAGAAGTAGTTCAAGATTGTTTTTGAAGCAGTTTATGACAGAACCTACAAGGGGAAATAAGCTGCTTGACTTGGTTCTGGCAAACAAGGAAACCATTGTTAATAATTTATAAATCAGAGAGGAACTCGGCACAAGCGACCACAGGTCAGTTACCTTTAGCATTGAATGGAAGTATGATAGTTGGAACAACTCAGTAATGGTCCCAGATTTTCGCCTAGCAGATTGCAATGGGCTTAGAGAACACTCATCATCTGTTGACTGGGGTAATGAAGAGAGCTATCAATATGACAGCTTTCTAAACACTATACATGCTGCACAAAGACCGTTTATCCGTAAAAAGAAATTAGATCTAATAGAAATGACCCATGAGTAATAGGCTCAAATACCTTTTCAGACAAAAAAATGGAATTTATAGGCATATCAAAAGAGGTGAGGGTCATCTTATGAATCAATATATATACATTAAGAGGGACGTCAAAAAGGGAATACGAAAAGCTAAATGGGACTACAAAATTAAAGTTGCTAGGGATTCGAAAACAAACCCAAAAGGTTTTTCCAGATTTATAGAACAAAAGTTAGAGATAAGATGCCTTCTGGATAAGCATAATTTTATTAATGATACTCAGCATGAATTCACAAGGGGCCACTCCTGCCTAATTTATTAACCTTCTTTGGTAAAGCTTTCGAGGCTGTTGATCACGATAAAGAATTCGATATAGTTTATTTAGATTTTAGATTTTAGTGGCGTTCCACAGGGATCAGTCTTGGGCCCGTTGTTGTTTATAATATATATCAATGACCTTGATGAGGGAATTACAAGTGATATGAGCAAATTCACCGATGACATGAAGATAGGTAGGATAATTGATTCCAACATAGATGTCACAGAATTTCAGGAGGATTTAGACAACCTCAATTCGTGGTCAGAAAAGTGGCAGATGCAGTTCAATGTAGATAAATGCAAGGTTCTGAAGCTCAGGAGTGTCCATAACACTAGCACATGTAAGTTAAATAATGTAGAACTTAAACATACAGATTGCGAAAAGGACTTGAGGGTTATGGTAAGCAGCAACCTTAAACCAAGACAGCAATGCCTACGCATACGTAATAAGACAAACAGATTACTGGGATTTATATCAAGTGTAAGCAACAGAAGTCCGGAGGTTATACTACAGCTTTATACATCATTAGTAAGGCCTTACCTAGATTACACAGCTCAGCTCTGGTCTCCATATTACAGAATGGATATAAATTTGTTAGAAAACATTTAGTGAAGAATGACAAAATTAATTCATAGCAGTAGAAATCTTCCGTATGAAGAAAGATTGAAGCCCCCTTAAATTACATTCACTTGTAAGACAAAGAATGAGGGGAGACATGATTGAAGTGTACAAGCTACCCAAGGTCTTAGCCTCGATCACCCTACTCGGAAGACCATTCCACGCAGCCACTGCTCTGTTTGAGAACCAGTACTTACCTATGTCCTTTCTAAATCTAAATTTATGCAACTTAAATCCATTATTTCTGGTTCTTAACTGGTTCAACATCCTCAGTCCTTTATTAACATCACCTTTGTTTATGCCCCTCATCCACTTATACGCCTCGATGATATCTCCCCTCATTCTACGTCTCTCCAGAGTGGAGATTCAAGGCTCTAAGTCTATCTTCATACGAGAGATTCCTTATACAGTAAATCATTTTAGTCATTCTTCTCTGTATGTTCTCCAATGAATCTATATCCATCCTGTAGTAAGGAGACCAAAACTGAGCAGCATAATCTAAATGAGACCTCACTAGTGATGTATAGAGCTGTAAAAATAACTTGTGGACTTCTGTTGCTTATACTACTTGAAATAAATCCTAGTAATCTGTTAGCTTTGTTGTGTATACTTAAGCACTGCTGTCTTGGCTTTAGATTTCTGCTTACCATGACTCCCAAGGCTTTTTCACATACTTTATGATCAAGCTCTACTTCACCTAGTTTATAACTTCGAAGGTTATTTTCATTACCAAGGACTAGTACCTTACACTTATCCACACTGAACTTCATCTGCCATTTTTCAGACCAAGACATTAATTTGTCCAAATCCTCCTGGAGTTCATTGGTATCCTCCTCAGAATAAGGAGGATACCAATGAACAATATCAATGGAGGATACCAACATGGCCTATTTTTGTATAATTTTTGTTTCTTCATACGGAAGATTTCTAATGCTTTGAATTAATTTGTCATTCTTCGTTGATGTTTTCTGATGAATTTATATCCTTTCCGTAATATGGAGACCAGACTGACGCGAATCTAGGTGAGGCCTTACTAATGATAAAATAAAATCCCCTATTAACCCATAAAGGGCCCAAGAGATCTACATTCACATGTGTAGGCTCCAAAATAAAATCTACTTTTTTTTTTTTACATTTTTAAAATATAACAACAAAAAAAGTAGTAAAATTTTTTTTTTACACTTTTTTCAAATGTAAAAAAAAAAAAGAAATCTTTTTTTTACTACTTTCAAATGTTGAAAAAACGTATTATACGTTGGACGTTTCTGGGTTAAGTTCAGGGGCCGCCCCCAACGGTGATCTAAAACCTAATTTCCGCAGAGTAAATCCCTTAATCATCATCATTAATGGGCCTTTCTAAAAAATAAGGCACTTCATCATCTCTAAAAGATTAGCAAGAAACTTCCTCTAAAACAATAAACCTCCCATCAATAATTGTTGCTGATCTACTACACAAGAACATAACAAAAAGGGGGGAACACTGAAACTTTCCAGACCCAAACCCATTAACAATTTTTTTTTCCCTAACCATTTTAATGCTACCCAAGCAAAAAGCTATAATAACTTTTTAATTGTGCAAGTCAATTTTTTCTGAAGTCAAGATTCGTAATGTTATTTTCCTTACAGTGATTTTGAATGAGGCCCATGGGCACCAGGTGTGGGTGAGAACATGGGCACCAGGTGTGGGGAGAACCCGGGGGTGAATTTTGGTGGTGAGGCCAGCACTTACTTCCCCACAACGTGACACCCGCATAATACTGTCCACCACATCAACCAGGTAAAATCACAAACCTTTCCTCAATAAGGATTTATAGGGGGTAAATTTAGATTTAGAGAGGGTGTAGGACTGTGCAGCACCAAAATGAAAAAAACGAGTGTACCACCCCAGGTAACCCAAAGAAATTAAACTTGATACTATAAAAAATTTACCACATTAGACAACTTTAAAATAACTTAGACAAATACGTGAGCAAAACATTTTTAAATTTTATGGGACACCAAAACCCGGGTTAGTAGGGTTATTTAAAACTTTAAAACTTGGCCTTTAAAACTAAAAAAAAAATGGTTGGGGACAGATTTGGAAAAAACCTGCCAGGAAAGGGCCAGTAAGCCAAATGCAGTCTTTCCCATTCACACCTGTGGTTTACATATTTGCAATGTAAAATGATTATTAGGTTAGGTTTTGCAAGTAAATAATTTAAATTAGGACAAATTATACAGGTTTCAATGAACTAATTGGTTATAAATCTCATTTTTACACACATAAAATCTCTTCCCGGGGTACTGGACGGGGTTTACACCCGGCCCAAAGACCTTTTCCTGTTCAAGAGGACGTTTTCTCTCGATGCTGAGAGCCCGAGTCCCTGTCCTCTCCTGGTTACCTGCTTACAACGTTACCTCCTGTCTGCCTGGAGATCTCCTGGCAGGCATCACAGTAGCCATAATGCATATACCACAAGGTGGGTCTGGCACTCAGTTAAGAGTGCCTCACTCAAGGTTACTGGCACTCATGTTTAATGCCTTTATCATGCTCCTCATACTCATATATGTACTTAATTGTGTCGTTTCTAACAAAATGTTAGTAGGCTCATTAATTAGCAGGCTAATTATTTAATAGGCCAAATATTTCCTACGTTTATTTTTTTTTGTAATTTTTTTACAGGTATGGGCTCAGCACTACTGGGAGGACTACCCCCCATCACCGGTATCTACATGGCATTCTTCCCAGTACTCTTGTATTCATTACTGGGAACTTCACGACACATCTCCCTGGGTATGCTGAAGAATTTTAAGTTTTACTAATAATGTGTGGACTGGTAGGAGTATACCCTCTCCAGATATCACTTACTCACCCACAACTAAATAAATACTGAATAATTGTATCTCATAAATGTTTAACCTGTGACCCAATCATTACCTAACAGAATACTCCATTCTACTGAATGCACAGCAACACAGTAAATGACCATACTCATTTGTGCTTAACTGTTATCTGTTTACAATAATGTTTACCACTGAATATATCATTGCTTAGTTAATCTGAAGTTAATTTTAAGCCTGCCCATAATGCTCTGCATACAAGGGGCTTCGGCATGTTACACTTAACCACTGTATTTTTTTGTACTTCAATGTGTCATGTTCAAATTAATAAATAAATAAATAAATAAATACCTTCACTCACCTCTGACTCTTCCATACTCCTCTTAAGATGTTACTCTCTCCTCTTTAATGCAAGGAGTCACCACCACTCCAGTTGTCATCATCATCATCCCCCTCTCTCCATCTGTCCAGTACTCCCACCTCCCCATCTAACATCTTCCCTCTATCATTCTTAACTATCAGCTGTATTCACTGTTTTATCATTCAACTATTTCTCATTCACATCACATTTAGTATTCGAAAGACAGACTCGCTCCAGCAGTGTCGTTACTAACTGCCATATTATTATTATTATAATCAAGGGGAAGCACTAAACCCGTAGGATTATACAGCGCCTGGGGGGGGGGGAATGTGGAAGGCATTCAGGCTTAATTTGGGAGCACAGATCCAATTCCCTAAATCAAGAGCCCCTCACCAACATCAAGGTCTAACTGCCATAGAAATATATAAGACAGATTAGGATTAGAATTTTTGCTTATATCAACACATTTTTGACTATATCAACTAATATGATATAGGGCATAATGATAGCAGACTGTTGAACTATGTATTGGTGGATAAAAGATTGATCACTAGCCTTCAGGATGCGCATGTTTATAGAAGAGCAACAGATATATTAGATGGTGTACAAGGAGAATGGTAATATAAAGTAAGAGAGAGAGAGAGGTGAAGGCTTATCAACTAAAGGAGAAGGCAGTTAGGGCAAGATATAAGCAATTATTGGTAGAAAGATGGGCTAGTGAGAGTATAGGCAATGAGAGTGAAGAGGTATGGGGTAGATTTAAGAATACAGCCTTCGAGTGTTCAGCAAAAGTTTGTGGATATAAGAGGGAAGAGGAGCAGTTGGTAGAATGATGAGATAGAGAGAGAAAAAGTTAGCATATGAAAAGTTTTTACACAGTGATGGAGGGAGGAGTAGATGGAAGTAAAGAAAAACAGGTTAAGTGTGGTGAAGGAATGTGAAAGGAGAGCAAACGAGAGAGTAGGTGAGATGCTGTCAATAAATTTTGCTGAGAATAAGAAAAGGTTTTGGAGTAAGATTAATAAGTTGAGAAAGCCTAGGGAACAAATGGATTTGACAGTTAAAAATAGGAGAGGAAAGTTAGAAGTATCAGGAAGAAATATTTTGAGAAACTGTTAAATGTTGAAGATAGGGAAGCTGTGATTTCAAGCTCTAGCCAGGGAGGTATAACATCCTTTAGAAGTGAAGAGTGTGCGGGAGGTGCATGAAGTTGTGGGTTGAATAAAAGATAAAGCAGCTGGGAATGATTTAATCAAGACAGAAATATATGCAAGAGGGGAAGGCACCTAGATATCGGAAGAGATCATGCATGATTCCTTCGTATAAAGGCAAATGGGACAAAAGAAGAGTGTAAAATATATACGGGAATAAGCCTATTGAGTATATCTGGTAAGGTGTAGGGTAGAGTTATTATTGAAATAATGAACAGTAAGACAGAGAAGAGGATCACAGATGAACAAGGAGGCTTTAGGAAGGGTAGGGGGTGTGTAGACCAAGTGTTTAGAGTGAAACATGTAAGTGAACAATATTTAGATAAGGATACAGAGGTTTTCATTGCATTTATGAACAGGAAAAGGCGAATGATAAAGTGGATAAGGGAGAGATAGGGGAGCAATGCGGCAAATGTTGCCAAGTGTATGGAGTAGGTGGTAGGTTACCGAAAGCAGTTAAAAGGATAACAGTATAAAAGGACCAAAAAACTGGAATTCCCTACCAGGAAACTTCAGAGCCTCTATCTGCCAGCAGCTTCCAAGTTACCGTAAAAAAAAAAAAAACTTCAATTCAATTCAATTCAAATTCAATTCAAAGTTTATTGTCTCTAAGGATTACAATGCTGAGTTTACAGAATTTGGTTATTGTATGGTTTACATGTAGTAAAATACTAATTACACAGGGGGCCACTAGAACACCTAGCATGGCTAGGCATTTCGGGCAGACTTAGATTACAGTGGACCCTCGCATAACGCTATTAATCCGTTCCTGAGAGCTCAATGTTAGGCGAAATTATCATTATGCGAATTAATTTTCCCCATAAGAAATAATGGAAATCAAATTAATCGGTTCCTGACACCCAAAAGTATGAAAATTTTTTTTTACCACATGAAATATTAATTTTAATACACACAAACTGAAGAAGACATGCACAGTTACATGACACTTACCTTTATTGAAGATCTGGTGATGATTGATAGGATGGGAGGAGGGGAGAGTGTGGATGGTCTTAGTGTTTAGAAGGGAAATCCCCTTCCATTAGGACTTGAGGTGTCAAGTCCTTTTCCGGGGTTACTTCCCTTCTTCTTTTAATGCCACTAGGACCAGCTTCAGAGTCACTGGACTTCTGTCGCATAACATATCTGTCCACAGAGGTCTGTACCTCTCGTTCCTTTATGACTTTCCTAAAGTGGTTCACAACATTGTCAGTGTACAGGTTGCCAACACGGCTTGCAACAGCTGTCTGAGGGTGATTTTCATCCATAAAGGTTTGCACTTTAAGCCACACTGCACAGATTTCCTTAATCTTTGAAGTAGGCAACTTCTTCAATTTCTCTCTCCCCTCCTCCGAAGCAGTTTCCTTAGGTCTGCCCTCTTGCTGTTGAAGATGATCTAGCAGCTCATCAGTGGTTAGTTCTTCATTGTCCTCCTCCACCAACTCTTCCACATCCTCCCCACTAACCTCCAACCCCAAGGACTTCCCCAATGCCACAATTGATTCCTCAACTGGCATACACCTCTCAGGGTTAGCCTCAAATCCTTCAAAATCCCTTTTGTCTACACATTCTGGCCACAGTTTCTTCCAAGCAGAGTTCAAGGTCCTCTTAGTCACTCCCTCCCAAGCCTTACCTATAAGGTTTACACAATTGAGGATATTAACCCTTTGACTGTTTCAGGCCCCTTTCTGAAACTGTCATTCTATGTCGCTAAATTTTTGAAAAAAAAAAAAAAAAATTATTTTTTTCGGTGATTTTGCCGACTTTGAGCCCTATTTTCAGCCAATTCCATTGTTCCAGTTGACCAAACTCATAGCTATTTCTTTAGAACTCCATTTTATCTATCAGCTGAGTACAAGAAACTGCCCATTTACCAATTTGGACTACCCAATATTGTGGTCAGAAATTGGCAATTTGGCCAATTTCACGCAAACTAAAAAAGATGCCAATTTCAAAATAGGGTCCAGAATAAACAAGGTAGACATTCTTGGCACTAAAATAACATATCCTCTGTTCATTAGTCACATCTCTAGGCCCCTCTTGTACTATTATTGCTTTCTATTTTGATTTTTTATTCATACAAAAAAATACAGAATTTACTGTTATGCAGACAACTGCATTATTGTAAAAATGGTATAAATAATATCAGTGCACTAGTGAAAGAATATTAGACTCCCCAGTTGACGTGTATTGGACGTGTGGTGTGATTTGTTTACTCCTGAACATTGGTAAAAATCGAACATTTCCGCTACTTTGAGCTCCGTTTCAAGGTCGTTTTCATCGTCAAAGTAATGAAAATCATCTCTATTTCTGAAATATGTTTTCCATTTTATCACCTAAGACCATGAAAACGCAAATACATCGATAAATACTATTCGAAAATACACCTCAAAGTCGGCGTTTTAATCGAAAAAAACGATCAGAGTTTTTTTTTCTCATTACGCACTGTGCTGCAGGATTTTTTTTATGTGGTGCACACTGACCACACAGACCCATTCTCTCACATGTAGGCCTACCAGCTTTCTTCCGCTTGATTTGAAGCCGCTAGAATTATTGAGTATATATACGTCAGAAACACTGGCTCGTAAGACGTATATATACGACCAAAACAGTCAAAGGGTTAAAGTGATCTCTCCTAAACTCTCTTAGAGTCAATTGAGTTTCTGAGGTCACTACAAAGCACCTTTCAAACAGAGCTTTTGTGTACAGTTTTTTGAAGTTTGCAATAACCTGCTGGTCCATGGGCTGCAGGAGAGGAGTGGTATTAGGAGGCAAAAACTTCACTTTAATGAAGCTCATGTCCCCATAAAGTCGCTCTACCAAGTCTGTAGGATGACCAGGGGCATTGTCTAACACCAGGAGGCACTTAAGGTCTAATTTCTTTTCAGTTAGGTAATTTTTCACATTGGGGGCAAATGCTTGGTGTAATCAGTCATAGAAAAAGTCCCTAGTGACCCATGCCTTACTGTTTGCCCTCCACAGCACACACAAATTAGCCTTGAGGATATTCTTTTGCCTGAACGCTCTGGGAGTTTCAGAGTGATACACTAATAAAGGCTTCACTTTGCAATCACCACTAGCACTGGCACACATTAACAGAGTAAGCCTGTCTTTCATAGGCTTATATTCTGGGAGTGCCTTTTCCTCCTCAGTAATGTAGGTCCTCCTTGGCATTTTCTTCCAAAACAGGCCTGTTTTGTCACAATTAAACACTTGTTCAGGTTTCAGTCCTTCACTGTCTATGTACTCCTTGAATTCCTGCACATATTTTTCAGCTGCTTTGTGGTCCGAACTGGCAGCTTCACCATGCCTTATCACACTATGTATGCCACTACGCTTCTTAAATCTCTCAAACCAACCTTTGCTGGCCTTAAATTCACTCAC